GCATAGCTTGGTTACACTTTTTCCCTGTCTGTGTCGGTTAAGGACGGACCATTGCAATGGACTCTAGGCAAGTCACATATTTATTATCCCGAGCACATACTTGGGTATGGGCACATGAAAGACTTGTTGCTCTCTTTGTCGTGGGTTCTGGCTCTTTCTGGACCGACTGATTGAAGGCGGGGATGGTAGAGGTCTAAGCACCGCACTGAGTCCAGGACTCAGGAGTGGGGGCTTGGAGTCCAAGTTTGGACGGGGACCTAGACCCCTTGACAGGAGAGTGGTGGGTTGGTCCTGCTTGTGCCTGGGGTACAAGCGGGGCGTGTGTTTTGGGGTACCCAGCTGGGTACATTGATTTGTGAATCGCCGCCGTGTCGGTACGACTTGTCTACACTCTACCACCGTAGTGTTTGCTCAACTCCTGCTTGAAAGTAGAATATGTGCTTACATAGAATGGCTAGGTAATGTAACAACCATGACCGCTAAAAATAAACATACATAAGAAGGCACTATTAGTATTGCTTTCTGTAAAAAGGAAACCCAGCAAATCATAAAGCTTATCATATTCCTTGGAGTCGGAAAATTATTCCCACTAGTCGGATAAGTCTTGTGAGTACATTGTGTACTCAGGGTTATTTACCCCTATTGCAGGTACTGCTTGAGGAGTAGCCGTTGTGTGAAGGATTCTTCTGGTGGGTACAGATGGTTCCTTGTGTATTATCGATAGATGTTTCTTTTCATTCCGCTGTTAAATTTCTGTATTCTGAATTTGGTACTATAATAATATATATTTAAGAACTCTGGATGTATAAAATGAACTAAGTATTGTAACTCGTTCTCATTATTGGATTCTTGGGGAAAAATGTGGATCATTCGGGCTCTCCCTTGGGGTGTGCCCGATGGAATCCGCCCGATGTAACTCGCTCTCGAGGTGCTTAGGGGGTGTTCGGCTGGAGGAATTTGAATGGTTTGGAGGAATCCTGGAGGAATTTGTGTGAGAAAAATATTGTTCCGATTGAAAAAAGAAGCGAATCAAGCCGGGTTTAAAGGCACGCGAACGAGGCCTTAGTGTCTAGTGGAAGACAAGCGCCTCCATAAACACGTTGTTTCAGATAGTTCTGCCACAACTAAATGATCAGTTTGGCATGGCTCTAGCTCAATCTGGCTTTGGCAACAGCTTCGCAAAGGAGTCGGAGAAGCCGTCCAAATATCCCAGGAGAATGAGTCATTTTTATGTACGAAAGAGAAGCCAAAGTCTTTTTTATGTATAAAGGAGTAGTAGCAATTTGTGACTCCTTCCTTTGGCCCAGGCTCTCCCAGATGAACACCTAGAGGAGAAGCTGTACCAAACAAGCATTAAATAATACCAAGAGTTCTCTCCCCATACGGGATAGCATTAATATGTTCCCCTTCACCTATGTGGTATGTATCATCCCAAAAGTGAATAGGGGTCAGCATGAGCTAACCACCTTCTTCGGTGGTTACTGTAGGGTAATTTCTATAGCCCTTTTCCTTTTCTAGTCTAGTACAAAACTCTTTCTACTTTCTAGCAACTCACTGCTATACTACTTCACAACTCGTTTGCTCTCTAGCTAGCGGTTAAAAGAGGCGATTTCAATCTAGCTTTGTGGCCTCGATCTTGTCTCGATTCACTTATATAGCTCAGCACAAAGGTAGGCACGGGATAGATATGTCACAATGTCATCTAGTCTAGGTTATTAGGCAGTGAATCACTATTCCCTCCAGCGCATCTCCGCTCCGGACATTGACGGCTGGCGTGAGGTCCTGGCGCAGGGGTCGTCATGTGGCGGCGTCGGCGGGGCACGACCCGCCCGCACTGCATCTTCGGTGAACCGTCGGCCCGTACCTGCAACTGGCAGACCTACGTGGGAAGTGCTTCAATTGTCTCTCCACCACGCACAGGGTGGCAACCTGCCGACTGCCTTCAATGCAAGAGGTTCCGACACCTCGCGTGGGACTGCAAGCGGCGGCGAATGGTGCCTCCTTCTACCTCTGGCACATTTGGTGCCACAGAAGGACGGCCACAATGACCTGACCCAGAGCGTACCTCAGGCACCCAACCGCCCGTTGGACGCTCTGCCCAGGGTCACCGCGACACCTCGTGCACTCAGGGTGACACACCGGGCTCAGTTGGAGCTATGTTGAGCGGCTGGGCGTGGCGGTGGAGGACGTCGACGTCGGAGGCGCCGGGGACGGCCGAGGTGGGATGACACCGCTGCGGCAACGGCCTCCTCTGCCGCCATCGATAAGTGCTGGCCGGAAAGGTCACAGCGAGCTGACCAGCGAGACACGCCATGTAAGGGGCCTCTCCGAGCTCGATCTGTTGTTGCTCTCACCATACCCAGATGCCATGTATGCCACATGCGAAGTCTCGTAGGACCCAATGCTGGAGGAGGTTGCAGCCTCATTCGCAACCACCAGTGTGTGCACCTACGCCACTTCGACGATGGCCTCCCACCCTGCTCAGTTGGTAGCGGACTCGGTTCCGCGGCCTCTCAAGCACGTTTAGTCTCAGGTCACGTCGCCTCAGGCCGCGCAGACCACCTCAGGAGCTGAAGCGCCTACGCAGGAGGAGGTGGGTGGCCCGCCTAGCTTCGATCCGGCCGAGCCCGCGGTGGTTGCAGACATGTTCAGTACGCCGCCTCCGGAGGACCGCATGGTCGACATCAGCGACAGCTTCGCCGCACGCCGCCTCAAGAGATTCACCAGGCGCGTGCTGATGAAGGCCGACTCTCTGCTTATTCGGGAGCCTCCCAAGCAGCGTCCTGCTAAGCCGGTGCTGCCGCTACGGAGCAGGCGGTTGATGGCTCAGAGCCTCTCTTGAGTACCTGCTTCCAAGCGAGGTGAGGCGCTGATCATACAGCGTATGGGCTACACCATGGGTCCATCAGCGCCATCCGCGTCGAAATTGGAGGCCTTTGACAAGATCTTCGACGGCAACCTGACTGCGTCCAACGCCGAAGCGCTGGAAGCGCTCTTCCTGAACAGTGGAAAGGGCTCGTCTAGACAGCCGCGAAGGCGTAAGGCCACCTCCTAGGTTGTACCGATGCATCGGTTTTAGTTGTTTTTTATTTATATAATATCGAAACTAGAGGTCTTTTGCTAGGATGGTTTAGGTACGATGTTTTTATGTCGATCTCCTTCGACGCTCGATAGAGACGCGTTGCCTGTATGTTTAAACTCTTCTTCTTAATACAATAATACGCAAATCTTTTGCGTATTCGAGCAATTCTAATTTAAATGAATTTAATTCAAATGATGTGTGTCTGTCGTGTAAGGGGGTGTTTAGATCCGGTGACTAAAATTTAGGAGATGTCACGTGAGGGTGTCGTATGGGTGTTCGGATACTAATAAAAAAATAAATTACAGAATCCGTCAGTACTCCACAAGACGAATTTATTAAGCCTAATTAATCCATCATTAGCACATGTTTACTATATCACTACATTGTCAAATCATAGACTAATTAGGATTAAAAGATTCGTCTCGCAAATTAGTCGTAAACTGTGTAATTAGTTTCATAATTAATCTATATTTAATACTCCATGTATGTATCTAAATATTCGATGGGATAACGAGGAGGAAAAACCTAACACCCCTTAGTTCCCTTGAAAACTCACATACTCGCTAGGATGGGAGCGCCAGATAGCTGTGTCTGACCGCCCGTCTAAGCGCCCGCGCGTCCCCGCCCTCGCCAGGTGACTGCGTTGAACCCGTCTAAGTGACTCTGTTTGGATTGTTGACTCTGTTTGGGAAGAGTGGTTCGTGTTAGCTAGCACCTGCTACCATGTATGTAGCCTCACTGAGGAAACGCTGATTCGTGATACTGTGATCGTAATTCGTAAATGTTACAGTACACTTGAAAGTTAACTCAATCACTAATGGCGGTTTTAGTTTTGGTGTGACAGAACATGGAACAAGTCTGGGATTAATTATTTGAGCTGAAACATGTGCTTAAAAGGAGGGGATATCATCTCTACACTGTAGTTTCTTGCACATAGAATCTGTGCCTTTGTTTGAGATTGTGAAAGAGCGGAGAGCACTCCCTGGTCACCACACCCTTCCAGACATCCTTGATCTTACCTATTTACCTTTAAGGCCCCCTTTGGGCTGCGGTTCATTTTTCCGTGTTTTCTGCATTTTTCTGTGAAGATGAACTGATTCCTGTGTACGATTACTTTGAAGTTCCTACGTTCCAAAGGGACCCTAAATGTACAATCAAACTATATCTGCATACACTCTAATGTATAGTTACTTTATTTCTAATATAAAGTATACATGCACATGCACTTGAGGAGCACATAAACCATGTTCCTTTCTGTTTAAAGTGGCATTTTACCATTACTAATTTGACGCTCATTTTGGAACCTCGACCTTAATCCTCATCATATGCACTAGAAAAGAGATAAATTCTAGAAACATCTATCCATAAAATCGGCATACTATAACAACCATTGACAATAATAGACGGCATACTATAACAACCATTGACAATAATAGACATTGTATCTATTCCGCATTTCTAATAAAAATAATTAGCCACCTCCACAACTTTTAGATAGAAATAGTCTAAAGTTATTTTCCTAAATTTATATATGATTACCACCTCTGCCATTGAAAAATAATCTAAAGTTACCCCCCCCCCCCTAAATCTTCATTTAATTATCCACCTATGCCATTATAAAGAAATAACCTCCTAAATTTACATCTAAATTATCCACCTCTACCATTATTAAGACTGAATTAAACCAAGCCCTAAGCCTGCATCTAAATTAACTACCCATTCCATTATAAAAAAATCCCAAAGTATTCCTATGTATGCTTCTAAATTACCCTTTCTTCTATTATTAACATAAAAAAATCAAGGTATATATGCATGATGTGTGTCACCATGCAGGAAGTGATGGCCATGAGATAAATTTCCATGTCAAACACATATATAGCCAAAACTAAGGGTTCAAATAAATACATGTCAAACACACATGAAATCATTTGAAATTACTTTCCTGTGCAGGAGGTAGGAGCATAATCTATGATCTAGCCAAATTCTAGAAATGGTGTCATTTTTTATTATATAAAGTTCTAATTGCCGAATGATGTTCTTAAAAAGCATTTGCAGCTTTGCAGTTTCTACGAGTCATTGAATATCCATTTCTACAGAACCATGTGAAAACAGTGAAATATGCCTCAACAAATATCTGTAAATCAAGACGAACAATTATTTCAGTTGTGTTTTGTGGTGAGAATTGAAGTTCGTCCCTACCATGCCTTAATATATTTTCCTGATGGTTGCAGTGTCATTGTAGAAGCACTCAAGGTAGACAGTTTACAGAAGCTTTGCTCATCACTGGAGCCAATTCTGCGCAGAGTTGTGAGTTGAAGCCCTTGGACAACTTTTTATATAACCATCTGATTGCTTTTCTTGTCATTAGCCAACCAACGTTTGCTGTGTAGGTCAGTGAAGAAGTAGAGCGTGCTTTAGCCAAATTGGGTCCTGCAGGTCCTGCTAGGATCCAAGGAAGGTACAAAATCTGGAACTTGATCTTTATGGTTGTTTCTGTAGTTTTACCTGAATATGCTGCAATAAATTGTGAACTTCATATACCAAATAAAAACAGGAGCTCTCCCAAACGAATTGAAGGCCCTGATGGTAGAAACCTCCAGCTTCAGTTTAGGTCTAGGTTATCCCTTCCACTTTTTACTGGAGGGAAAGTAGAAGGTGAGCAGGGAGCAGCAATTCATGTTGTGCTGCTTGATGCGAACACTGGACATGTTGTCACTTCAGGACCTGAGTCATCTGTGAAACTGGACATTCTGGTACTTGAGGGTGATTTTAATAAAGAGGAAGACGAGGGTTGGACTGAAGAAGACTTTGAAAGTCACGTTGTTAAAGAACGAGAAGGGAAGAGGCCTCTTTTAACTGGTGACCTGCAGATAACCCTTAAAGAAGGTGTTGGGACTATAGGAGAGCTTATTTTCACTGACAATTCCAGCTGGATAAGAAGCCGAAAATTTAGACTTGGGTTGAGAGTCTCCTCAGGGTTCTGTGAAGGAATTCGTGTTATGGAAGCAAAAACAGAGGCTTTTACTGTTAAAGATCACAGAGGCGAATGTATGTTTATTTACTGTGCTGTCATTATTAAATGATCTAACATATAGTTTTTAAACTTGAATATGTTACCTGATTCTTTTTTAGTGTATAAGAAGCACTATCCTCCTGCACTAAAGGATGAGGTATGGAGATTAGAAAAGATTGGAAAGGATGGTTCATTCCACAAGAGATTAAACTCAAGTGGAATCTATACAGTTGAACACTTTCTTCAATTCCTTGTTAGAGACCAACAGAAATTAAGAAGTGTAAGTTTAGCATCTCTACTTTTAACTATGGTTCATCCACTCGGTAGTCTTGTGGCCCATACTATTTTATTTCTTCTTTCTGGTTACTCTGCAGATTCTTGGCAGTAACATGTCAAATAGGATGTGGGAAAGTCTTATTGAGCACGCAAAGACATGTGTTTTGAGTGGCAACCATTATATATATTACTCAAGTGATGCAAGAAGTGTGGGTGCAATATTCAACAACATATATGAGTTCACTGGTTTGATTGCTGATGATCAATTCATTTCAGCTGAAAATCTCACTGAAAACCAGAGGGTTAGTGTCTTTTCAATGCCTTTTACAATGCTACTGTTGGAATCTCATAAATTTTCGGCACTCGGTAATATATGGATTGAGATTATTCAGGCTATAAATTCATTTCTCTGATACGTAATTTTCACTGCATCCATAATCTGTATCACCCACTATAATTTCACTTTTCACAATCTGTGAGATTCTGTTGTCAGTCTTGCCTAGAGTGGTCTGCTATGCTCGTTTTTGACTTAGGCACAGCATCATTACAAACTTGCACACTTCTTATTTAAGTTTGGCCATTGCCTAAATTAACTGCATTTAGGTGTTTATTACCAACAGGAAAGTTGGAAACAAGCAACGACAACCGCAAACACATTGCCTAAATTAACTGCATTTAGGTGTTTATTACCAACAGGAAAGTTGGAAACAAGCAATGACAACCGCAAACATTTTAAATATCACAGTATAAGAACACATGCATATATTTGTTTATAAACCACCACCCATGCTTCTGATACAAGTTCCATGAATGATGTCTACAAATCCTTTAGAAAATGTTATATATCTTTTACAATTTATTAATGGTGTCATTGGAATATGCCTTTTTCATGACGGAAAATGCATTCAATTCCCATTCTAAAAGAAAATGCATTTGTTTTTACAAACTTCCATTTTAGTTAGAAGATGTATAACCATCTCTTCTATTTATGATATATTTCTTGTTAATTAATATGCTGATTGAGTTCGATATGCTGGCCCTATTTTTATACTCCCTCCGTTCCAAATTATAAGATATTTTGGTTTTTTAGATACATTGTTTTTACTATGTATCTAGACATAGTGTATATCTAAGTGCATAGCAAAACTATGTATCTAGAGAAGTCAAAACGTCTTATAATTTGGAATAGAGGGAGTAGGTGACATACTATATGGATGCTACAATATGAATCAGTTTTAGTGTAGAGAAGGATGGTAGGGTGCTTGGGTTGTCACCATTTTTGTTTGAGAAAACAATATACTCCCTCTGTTCCAAATTATAAGTCACTTTGACTTTTTTGGTACATCTATTTTGCTATACATCTAGATATAATATATGTCTAAATACATAGCAAATTCTACATACCAAAAAAGTCAAAGCGACTTATAATTTGGAACGGAGGGAGTATATATCTTTTTGCAGATGCTCTTAGTTAAAGTTGGCATGCAGCTTTGTGCTACATAAAAAATGAAAGAAGTTAGTATGTTTTTTACAGATTCTTTCAGTGATCTAATGATATATCAGGAGTCTTTTTTTCATGTTGCCTTGAACTTTTAGTTTTATTTCCCCTGTTCACTTGCCTCAATTGCTATCATTAAGATGTAAAGCGTTTGGCCCTTTTTATGATAATAAATTAAATATTAAATCATTTGTTGCAAAAGTCACGATCTCACTCTACCTGGTCACAGGTGTTTGCTGACACATTGGTTAAGCAAGCATATGATGATTGGATCAATGTTGTAGAATATGATGGCAAGGCGCTGTTGAGTTTCAAGCAGAAAAAGAAATCTGTTACAACTAGAAGTGAAACAGCGAAAGCTTCAGCAAGCTACCCTGCATCAAACGGTTTAGTGAACTCACAGAAACAACTGGCTGGAGGTCCTGTAAATGCTGAGCAATCTTCCCTGAACAATACCAGCGAAGGTATCTGGATTTGTTCTCTAGTAGCATAACATTCATATCCTGTATGTTTCTTGGGTACTCTTTTCTTTCAACTATTCCTGAGCTGCTATTAATTAATTTTGGAACAAAAAAATAATGAACTTCCTTTTTTTGATGCACTTTCTTACACTGTTTTGAACCTGTGGAGTTATATTGTTTATAGGACCCATTTTTGTAACAAAACATGGATTTTTTTGTGTCTGAGAAGTCGTTCTTGATTGAATTTAGCTTAATCCTTCAAAATCAAGGCTAACTCTATTATTACTTTAGTGAAAATTAACTACTCCCTCCGTTCCAAATTGTAAGTCGTTCTGGCTATTCTAGATACGTAACTTTTGCTACGCCGTATGTCTAGATACATAGTAAAAGCTATGTCTAGAAAAGTCAGAAGGACTTACAGTTTGGAATCGAGGGGGTAGTTACCTGCTGACCATAATCCTGCATCTATATGCTCGTATTGGTTGCTAACTACTGCTAGCTTGAACTTATAAGCTTATTTTCTCTGTTCAGCAGGTGGAACTAGAATCCCATCCATGGGGAACAAGGTAGCAAGAGAATATGCAGGCAATCCTCAGCACATGGCACCTAGTATTACTATGCAATACGACATGAGTTCACTGGTCCCGGGAGGCCAGTTCAGTGGTTCCTCTGTGCAAACTCAAACTTCACGAAGCTCCAACATGCTTGCATTGCGGCCAATGCAGCAGCCTCAAAACTTCGAGTTCTCTGGGCTTGGTCAGTCCACACAACCTTCAGGGATCAACCCTTTCGATGACTGGTCCCGATTGCAGGAGAACCGCGGAGGCGGCGTCAATGACTACTTGATGGATGAGATAAGGGCCAGGAGCCACGAGATATTGGAGAACGATGAGATGCAGCAGATGCTGCGCATCCTGAGCATGGGCGGGGCACCACCCGGCCTGAATAATGTTGACGGCTTCCCTTCATACCCGTCTCCTGCCCCAGCCTTCAGCTTTGAGGACAACCGCGCTCGCTCGTCGGGCAAAGCTGTTGTCGGGTGGCTGAAGATCAAGGCTGCGATGCGGTGGGGCATCTTTGTCAGGAGGAAAGCGGCTGAGAGACGAGCTCAACTTGTTGAGCTGGAAGACTAGCAGGTGCTTGGTCTCAGTGTTGCGCATATTTATGCAGCGGGGCTAGTAGAACTGCAAACTGTTGTATGTATAATACGCTTCCTCCCTTTTGGCTGCCCTTGCACAATAGCTCCATTGATATTGTTGTATATTAATGGGTACATGGAAGGACGATCAGGATCCTGGGCTCCTGAGCTTTTACGAATGAACTCACGTTGGTTGTATTAATCTCTGATGACGCTTGACCTTACCTGTGCGTTGAAATATTCTTGTCGGAGGCTTCAGAATGATAGAATGAAAGGGAAAGTTCAGAAGGTCATTTGATCTGTAGCAATTGAAGGCAAAGTTCGGAGTTTCGGGTGTCCTGGAGTGCATCGGAAAATTTGGAATAGAGCTTTTTAGTGGATATTAGAGCTGTGCTTTGTACTATTTGAGGGCGATGTCCACTAGCAGTTGTAGCACAGTAATTGTGGAACGGATCATTAGTGTTTCCCATGTGACTCACGTGGAGCATGAATAAATCGAGGCTTCTGGAATGTGGTTGTGGGAAGGTAACATCAAGAAAGTTTGTTGTTCTTGTGTAACAAGCGAGTGTAGGACGTCAACTTTTTTTTGTTCAAAAAAGGACATCAGCTTTTCATACCTCAAGAAAGCTGCGACTTAATCCTTGTTGAGAAGAGGTACAATGAGCACTGCTAATAACGAGTATATGCTTGGTTGCTTGCTATGTTTCGGGAGAATGGTATGCTTTGCTATAGTCTAATTAGTTGACGTGCTGGTGAAGTGATGATATCTTGTTATATTAGCCTTATGTTTTCTGGCCAATATTTACGAAACCACCTGCTAGACTGTGGAGCTCTACATGACTCTTGACCTAAGCACACGGTCCTTGGAGACACGAAGAGCCGAGCATGCATAGATGCTATTTGTGTTAGAGGCTAAAATTAACCTTGGTGGATCCAAATATCCTAACTAACAATCCAACTAATAACTTAAATGAACAACTCAGCTAGTAAAAAGCAATTAACTGGGTTTTCTAAATTAAATATTACTCCCTCCATCTCAAATTACAAGTCATTTCCAACTTTCTTGATAGTCAAAGCATCTTATGTTTAATCAAATTTATATAATAAAATAATAACATTTATGATACCAAATAAGTATCATTAAATTCTTTATTAATTATATTTTCATACTATACCTATTTGATGTCATAATATTTGTGATTCTTTCTATAATTTTGGTCAAACTTGAGATGCTTTGGTTCTCCAAGAAAATCAGAATGACTTAAAATTTGGAATTGAGGAAGTACTATCTATTAGCTGAAGAATTTAAACAGACTTAGCTAATAGGTTCATAGTTTTGCTAACAGAAAGCCATTAGTTGGCTTTTAATTTCCTGCTATCAGCTAATATTCTAATTAATTGAATAGGTTCAATTCTAGTGCTCATATTGAAATGAATCGAGATTGATAAGGATGGTAATAGGTATCTTTATTACATTGACTAAATCTTATTTATTTCTCTTCATTTCTATCATAATAAGATGGACTTTACCCAAGATGAGAATGAATCGGTTATTAAATCTTGGATAGAAATTTCTTTTACCTATTTCTCTGGGCAATCTCTTATTAACAACTTCTTCCCAACTAGTTTCACTATAAATAAGAATACTGTTGGGAAATAGGTTCCCAGCAAGGTGGAGGAGCGAAGGCCTTCGCCTTGTCGGAGGCTCCAGGCGAAGGGGATCGGACAGGTGGGTTAGACACAATTAGGGTTTCATAAATATATTCACCAAACTCTCCCTTTTACATAGGTTATGGCTCCCCTTTTTATAGGGATCTGTTTACTACCAGTCTATTGTACATCTTTGCCCTACGACAGCTATAATACATTCCTGGAATATCCCTAAGCTAGTTCAAGTCTCCAAGGGCATCCCAGGTCTTTTCTTCTCGCACCGCGTTTGCTTCTTGGGCCTTAGCCGCAAGCTCGTGGGAGGCCCATCTCCGGGCCTGGATCACGGTGTTGCAGGAGTTATGTTCTCCATAGCGGAAATCACATGGCCTACTCCCTGGGCCACCACAGCCTCCGCCTTCGCCTTGAGGCCTCTGCCTTGGATCTCCTCCGGACATCTTCAAGGCGGTGCCCGGGCCTCCGCCACGGTGACGGTCAGAGGCGAAGGCTCCTCTTGGTGTCCCCGTGCTTGGGCCTCCACTTTGCCATCGGTCCAAAGCGAAGGCTCCTCTTAGTACCCCTGCATGTCATCGGTCCAAAGTGAATGCTCCTCTTAGTACCCCTGCATGTCATCACACATGTGAATAGTTGTTAATTTGTATAAGCCTCCGCTACTCATATGTCTATGTCCCAACAGTTCCCCTTTGAGGGCATGGTCTGATGTGAGCGGGCCGTGTCCTCAAAACCTCTCGTTGATATTGGGTTGCGGAGGCTTTTGTGGAGGTTTCCCCCTTTTTCCCCCCTGGGTCGCCCGTATCGGACCGTTGTAGAGCACGAGAGTAAGAAGACTCGTGTTGATCAAGTTTCGGAGAAGGTCCATTCCACCAGTGGTGTTGGTGCCAATTCTGAATTCTAAATCTCTCTGAGAAAACTAACCCTCTCTGCAACGCAGGCAAGCCCCGGTGCATACCACCCTTCTATAGTATTTACAAATCTTTATTACACTTTAAGTCTTGTGAGATGTGCATTAAGTAATAAGGATTTGGTCGAATACCGTTGCTGCATGATTACCTTGATATTCAGGTATCCTTAGTTCTACTATGTTAGTCTGAATAGGTCGATACCTCTTATGCTTAGTAATGCTTAGACTTCGATAGAAGTCTAATGATGGCTTCATCGTTCGAGAGAAACATGTTTTTATTGCTCTTCTCGACTCAGGTTATGAGTTGTGAAATACCATGGTTATGATAATGTTAAATTGAGACCGGGCGGGTAGCTTGCATTGAGAATGGAGTCTCAATGTAGTGCTCAGCCTGTGTCGATTAAGGACCGTTCGTTGTAGGCCTGTGTGTGGTTGAGACTTTGTAGTACTGGCCACATACTCCGGTAAGCCTGATACCCTGGCTATTCCATTATGTGAAAGGCCAACCACGCACTGGAAGTGGAGAGATGGTGAGAGTAGTGTGTACACATCCTGTGAATCCCTCGTCGAATGGCGTAGGGAGGTGGAGTACTGTGCTCTCAGGTAGCGCTGGACCCGTTCACGTTTTGGAGGATTCGAGTGAAGGTTGATATATGTAGGTCTAGGAGCTGCATATGGCGTGTGGTAAGGAAACCCTAGCTGGGCCTAATCGATTCAAATCATCGTGCTCCTTGGATATGGAGACTTGACCCTCTGACCATACATCGTAGTTAATCAATTGAAACATGGTTACTTATGGTTATGAATATGAGAAGAAATGAGATGCTTAATGAAGTGATTGATGTAGAACAGGTGCAAATTGGATAGTGATAATAACTTAATACAAAGCTAAAACATGGAAAATAAGGATCCACTTATAGTAAGATTTTCTGCAAAAGCTACTCTTGATTCTAACTTTCCTTAAGCCTGCATACCCTTGGAGTCTTTTCTTTTAGTCGGGTAAGACTTGTTGAGTTCCCTCAAGTACTCAGGGTTTGTTAACCCCTGTTGCAGGTGCTGACTTGTGCTACTAATTGAGGTCATGTCAGTGGGCTCGACATGATCTGGTCATCTCTCCTACCTTAGATGCTTTACCTAAGTCCTTCCGCAATTCTACTCACCATTTGAACTTAAATTAAGTTTTTACTGAAACATGTGTTGTAACCTAATATTGTAAATCTTCCGCACTCTGATGTAAGTTATTTTTGTACCAAATGTTGTAATATTGTGGTAACTCCATGTTGATCCTGATGAGTTGTAAAATGTGGATGATTCGGGTTCCCCGAGGACACTCGACAGGCTACCAGAGTTATCTAGCTCTCGTGTGCAGCAGTCAGAGGTCTTTAAGACAATGACAGGTGCATGTGGGCCATATAATTTGGGTGGTTCTGCCACATCTAGTATCAGAGCTCATACATGGATCTGCAACAATATAACTTTTGAAAACTTCAAAAGGAATTTACAAATTAAAAGTTTTTAATGTTATCAAGCTAAAAATGCTCTTTAATCTCCCTTTTGCTTGCTATCCAAGTTCTATGAAGACTTTCTGTTGTTTTAAGTAGAAGACTCCGAAAAGATTTCAACCGTTCCTCAACAAATCAAGTGAAGAATTGGACTTCTCCGACAACATCTGTCAACATCCGTCTGAACCAGAGTAAAGCTAATGTATAAAATATTGCCCTATATAAGTAAGTCATGTCCTGACCAACGTGGTGAAGACGTATTGGGCGAGCATGCATCATATCATCCATATAAGTTTGCAATATAATGATGATTTAGATTCCCCTTTTATTCCGGGGACAACTATTCTACTTTATAGCTGTTCTACTCCAATAAATCTCATCATGTATCAGGTTTTTGTCAATTAACCCCTTTGACAATTTTTGCTCCTTAAGTTTCTAATCCTTGGGAACTTCTGGATGCACATTATTTACCACTCCCCCTCAATACATAAACCTGGACTACTCCTTGACTTCTCAAATTATGCATGTGTCGTGTCTTGACTTGCAAAACTGACACATGCTATTCACTTGACCTTGGTGGCTGACATGTGTTGGTCGAGAGTTACTGCAGTTGCGCTCTATAGTGGCACCATGATCAGTGACCACAGTACAGCGTCGATCCAGGGGTCTCCTGTGGATCGCGACCATCAAGAAATACCGCTGGCACTCGCTGTTATCGAGGTCTATGATCATGATTCATTATAGCCCACAATTAATGTGCTTTCGCTCTCCTTGAAACCGCTTTTCGAAATTCATGGTCGTGCTTATCTTGGATTTCCTAAATCCCTTGTTACTTGCAACCATCTTTTGACCTTGGTTGTAATCTCCAAACCAACCCTTGTTGCTTTATGAACTTCTTACAAGTTAATGAGCTTGACACATTTC